GAGAGAGAGAGAGAGAGAGAGGGGCACTGATTGACTGTGGGGGTGATCAAAGAAGGTGACATCTGAGCCAAGCCCTGACAGGTGAGATAACAGAAGGGATCCCAGGCTCCTGAAACTGTGAGCACATCCAGTCAGCAAAGGTCTTGGTTTAGCAGAGGAAGAGAGGTGGCTCTGGAAGCATGGTGAGTGAATGGAGAATGACGCTGAGGAGGCAGGCGGTGGCTACAGCTCACACAGCTGTGGGCCCTGGGGAGAAGGTTTTGTTAAAGGAAATGAGATATGACTGAAAAGTTTTAAACGTGGGAGTGATGTAATCCAATTTGTATTTTTAAAAAACAGGTGGGTTCAAGAGGATCTTTGAATTCTTATCTAAAGCTGTGATGGTGACTCTGTCGTTAGAGGGTCTCAATGCTGTCATATGGCACACCCGAAACAGTTACATACCCTGCCTTTTGGTATGAGTTCCATTTAGCAGTGAGAGTCTAACTAGATAAAGAGTGCCAAACTACAAACTTAAACACTAGCTGGGGGAAAAAATAAACAACAAGCCATTCTTGTGATTTATCCTAACCAACCCTCATCACCGCGGCATCATACCCACAGCTCTCTGTCCTCCTGTGGTCCTCTGGGTCCTTTGCACGCTCTCATCTGCCCAGCCTCCACTCCCCTCCTTCTAGTGCTTCTATCTGGTCAGCAATTCTATCCCTGACAACCGACTACACTGCTGCTTCTGCCCCCAACTCATTAGTTTGTCCCATAATGGATGGCCTATCCCTTTTCTGTCACAAAGGACTCCTCCTTTTGTCCCAGTGGCTTGGCTTGGACTCAGGACCATTTTCTCCCTTACAATTCATTTGACTGTACTCTCCTTGAGAAAAAGGATTATATCTGGCTCGCTATTATAAGGCTGTATTCACCATGGTGCTCAGCACATCCAATTGTTAAGTCTTCAAGAAATACTGCTGGATGAGTGATTCCTCTGCCCATGGAGGCAGCTTGTATGGACACGAGATGTCCCTGGACAATGACCTCTGTCTATGCACTCAATTCTCTCCTTCTCCTGCCAGCTTCTACATTGGGAACCAGAATGACTCTGTGCCAATTAGCTTCTCCCAATTAATTTAACCAAAGTTGGATCTAAGCTTTCAATTTTTTTTTTTGTTTTTTAACCTTAATCAGTCAAGGCACAAGCTTGGGCACAATTAAGTTTTCCTGAATTGTGGCTGAGTTTTAATTGTGGCAACTCAGAAAAAGCAAGTTTGCAGATGTTCTGCGTCATTTCCAGGATAATAATAACAGCTCATGTTCGTTGTGCATTACTGTTTGCCAGGCACCATACTGAGTGCTTTGCAAGCATTGTCTCCTTTAATCTTCACTGCAACCTTATGTGGAAAATATGACTATGCTCATTTTACAGATAAGGAAACTGAGGCTTAGAGAGGCAAAGAAATTTGCCCAGGGTTACAAACCTAACAAACAGGAGATCTGAGATTTCAAGATCCTTCTGAATGAAAAGTTTGTACCTTTAACAACTACGAAAAAAAAACCATAAAATAAAATTTGTGATAACATATCAGCATACTGCAAATTAGCACTAGGAAATGGATAAATTAATTGATAGTGATATTGAAAAAGTAGCTGGTATTATGGAACTCTACTGCATAATTGGATAGATTTTAATTTCTCTGTCATACAGCTTCTCTTTACTTCCAAAAAATCTGTTTTCATAATCCTTTACCAGTATATCAGAGCATATTTCAGATTTTTTGAATTCTAAAGTATTTTATTTTAATACAAAAAAAAACAAGAAAACCAGGGAGGCTTAGAAAATAGTCCATACCTTAGATTTGAAAGGCCTCAAATAAAAGACAGGAAGAAAACCTAAGAGTTCTCATATATAACTGAAATATATGTGAGATCAAAGCCATTTAGATTTTAAAACCAGCATTACTTATAGAAAGTCTAGGAACCAAACCAGCTCATCTTTGAAAGTTTCTTTGAGTGACAGTTCTAAAGTGTCCAAAAGACAGATTTTCCATTTTTTTAAACTTAACATCAAAGCACATATTCACATATTTATTTATTTAAAAACAGATTGCCTTTAAAAATGCCTAATGCTCCTGATGTTATTTGAAACACATATACAAAACACACACACACACACACACACACACACAAAACCATAAATGTCTGCTTATCTAGGAAACCGCAGAATTTCAACCCACAGCACTAACCTAAGGCAGAACTTCAGATGGAAGTCTTCTTGAAGAATATTACAGTTTTTCTTCAGAGAAATGGTTATCCACAGGACTCTTGACTTTTACATTTATGCTTTTTGTCATGAGTAGCTTATGAAATATTACATAATTCATTTAAAATATATCAAGAATCAGGGAAAAGCACTTCTAGCAACATTACAAATAAAATTTAACAGAGTAAGTGGTAAGTGTTTTATCAGTCAATCTTAACCAAGGAAAATAATTTTCCAACACTTGGGAAAATTATGAACTCAAGATTTAAGCTTGTAGAAGAGTTTACACATCTGTATGTCATTTAATTGACCAATTTCAGTGATTTTAAAACATCTGTACTGATGCTACTGCATTTATAATTATATGTCTACATAATCCAGTGTTTTGGTTAGGAGACTCTTTTAGGGATTCCGAGAATTAGGAAAACCTAGGTATGGGTTACACTTCAAAAACGTGTCGCTTTGTAGCTACAGGTTAAGTCATTTAAACTTTCTGAGTCTTCTTTGCTTCATCGGTGCTGTAGAGAAATAATAATATTCACCTTTTTCCTTCGTGGAGGTGACACATCGAGCAGAAGCATGGACCTCGTAGCAGTACAACCTGGGTTTAAATCCAGGCTTTCCCCTCTGCACCAAGGCCATGCAAGGCCTTGGATATGCCCCTAAACCCTCTGAAGTCTCACTTTCCTCATCTGTAAATTTAGAATAATACTCACCTAGTAAGATATGAGGATTACAGAAAATTTGTGTAAACATTTGGCACTTCTTAAGCTCTCCATAAATGGTAGCTATTAATGCTTATGGACATATTTGGTAAACTACATTTTATATGTATGGTATTATTAACCTGTTTCCTTAGATATATAATTTCTTAGTGACAGATTAAACACATTTCTGCCAAATAGTAGTCTATATATATGAATATATTTTCCCTTAAGTTTTAAAATCTTGCTGTGATAGTCTTTTTGTGAAATTTGTTATGAGACCATGATATTAGCAAAACTCGAAACAATGAGATCTTTTTCTTTCTTCCTCCTTTGCTGTATTGCAGTCTATAGTCTTCAGTGAATTTTCAATCCATTCATTCATTCATTCATGCATTCATTCAACAAATACCTACTGAAGGCTTACTATGTTACAGGATCTATGCTAAGGGTTACATTTCAGGAAGAATTAGCCTGTATATTTTACTACAGGTGATTTCATTAAATATGGTGTTATTATGATCAATTATTTCAGTAGTATAGAAAAGTTGGCATAATAGTTTATGTAAATCGTAAAGGGAATTAAGACTATATTTTGACAATATGTTACATATTCTTCAGAAAATCATTATATGCAATCTCTTTTCACAAAGGTTACTATATAAATTAAAAACATCAAAAGCGTTGGCCAGGGGCGGTGGCTTATGCCTGTAATCCCAATCTCAGAACTTTGGGAGGACAAGGCAGGTGAATCACCTGAGCTCAGGAATTCAAGATTAGCCTGGTCAACATGATGAAACCCTGTCTCTACCAAAAACACAAAAATTGGCCGGGTCCAGTGGTGTGTGCCTGTAGACCCAGCTACTTAGGAGGCTGAGGCAGAAGAATCGTTTGAACCTGGGAGGTGGAGGTGGCAGTGAGCCAAGATCATGCTATTGCACTCCAACCTGGGTAAAGGAGTAAAATTTTGTCTCACGAAAAAAAAAAAAAAAAGTATGAGGATAAACCAAAGCAAGGAATTTAAAAATGGAAACAATTTTTAAAATAATCATAGTTGTAACTCAGTATTAAATTGTCTTTTGGAGAAGATTCTAAAGGGTTTTATATCTAGAATAACTTGAAAATGGGCCACAATTGGAGACAACTGAGAAATCATTCTTCTGTTTTTACTTTATTATCCTTAACAGCCATAAGCCATAGTCTATTTCTACCAGTGGAAACCATCAGAACTTCACAAGAACTGTATGTATAAATTTCTATGATATTCTAAGTCTTTTACTTTCATAATACTATATCATTATAAATATAATCATTTTTAACAGTAATTGAGTGCCTCCAATGTGCAGCAATTGCAAATTGAAAAACAAAAGTACAAGATGAGCACAGCAGGGATCAGTAAACTATTGCCGGTGGACCAAACCTTGCCCACCAGCTGTTTTTGTAAATAAAGTTTTATTGGAACACAGCCTGATCCATTTGTTTACATGTAATCTATGGCAGTTTCTTGATATATTATCAGAGTTGAGTAGTTGTGGTAGAGATGCTATGGCCTGCAAAGAGTAAAATATTTATGACCTAGTCCTTTATGGAAAAGATTTGCCAACCCCTCCTTTATAATAAAAGTATTAAATGATATTTATACCAATTTTGAGTATCCACATAAAATAAGAAGGAATTAAAGGAGAGCCTGCCGTACATTCATCTCCTTTTAGGCTTATGCCTGATGCTCCATGGACAGACAAGAAGTAGGAGAAATGCTATACTTTTGAAGACAAATTCTCTACAAGCAGTTCTCTCTGGACTATGGGAGCACTACTATTCCCCACTGAGATAACAAAAATTCCCATTGTTAAGCCACCAAACAAATGCCTACCAGAGCTGTATAATTTTCCTTCCTTTTAGGAGCTGGCAATTTTAGCTTATGACTCATTTTTTGTTATTGAAAATATTGTGATTCTTAATATATTAATAAGCATCACAATTAATTTAATTTAAAATAGCTATTATGGTTACAATTAAAAGAGAAGAAAAAGCACATGTGTTACCTGTATGTTGTTCTTCAATCCAGACTTGCAAATACATGAAGAGGAGTAGCCCAGCTACTCCAAATATCAGCACAGAGAGGAAGACTTGTTTGGGGTTCATGACCATTTCAAATGGCTGCATTTCTCCTCATTTCAGAAACTGAAGAACACATGATTTGTTTTCCTGTAAAACTTCAGTCTTTTCTTGTGCTCTAAGGGCCCATTCCATAAAGTAACCTAGAATTTTAAAAAGAAATCTACATTGTACATGTCTGCTAACATTATTTCTCAAATAAGGTATAAATATGCAGTATCTCAACAACGCTGAAGACAATGTGTGCACACCAATGCTCTGAAGACAGAAAAGACTGCAGTAGGTGTTCTTAGAATGGCGATTTTCTATTGCATACTTTTATCTTATCTAAGGAATGTATTATCCTACAGTTTATAAGTAACATCCTAACATTTAGTTAGGCAAAGTCTGGCCAGACTTAAGTCCTCCTATATCGTTAAGTGTAAAGTAAGGTTTGGGCTAACTTAAAATAATTGCGAGCAGGAAGAATAACAGAATGGGTTGTTAAAGGATGGGTTTTGAAAAACATGTTTGTAGAACATAAGGAAAAATCACCTCCTGTGTTAAGAATATATAAAGTTCAAAAATGGAAGGTGTACTCTATCATTTTTCTCTCATATAAAGTAACAGATTTCTCCAATTTAAAGGGCACATTTAAAATCCTTCAGAGGAATAAAAAGAAAAATATTAAAAGGTCAGGGTTCAAGGACCCCTCCCATAATAACATGAAATCACTGAAATGTACCCAGATTACAGAAATCTACCTCAGTAATAAAGAGCTATTTTATTTTTTAAAAATACTGAAAAGACTTTCTTTTAGAACAATCTCATTTAATATAATCTTAATTTTTTTATTTAAAAAAAATCACATCCATTTTTGAGAACCTGATGAAAATGTGAGTCCTCTCTTTAGAAAAGTATAATCACATACAAAAATCTTGCATAAAACGGCAAAGTGTTCATGTACCTTCACTGAGACCCACATTAAGAATCCCTGTTCCCCAGTGAGAACACATGGATGCAGGGAGAGGAACATCACACACCAGGGCCTGTCAGGGGATGCGGGCAAGGGGAGGGAGAGCATTTGGACAAATTCCCAATGCATGCGGTGCTTAAATCCTCAATGATGGGTTGGTAGATGCAGCAAACCACCACGGCACAGGTATACCGATGTAACAGACCTGCACGTTCCTCACATGTATCCCGGAACTTAAAGTAAAATAAAATAAAAATAAACATAGAAAAAACAAACAAACAAAAAGACTCCCTGTTCCCAATGAACTGCCACACAAGTATGCAGTAACCTGCCTGGTGAGCTCACCTGGTGAGCAGCCCTGCTAATGGGACCAAGGTCATGGCTTTGTATCTAACGCTGGCCAGAAACCCTGGCTCTGTTCCTTGGCCACAGAACACAACCCCTCTGGGTGAGCTGAATAAATGTTTCTTCAGTGTGAAGATACCATGCACATTGCTGCATCAAAAAGTTCTCTCTTCTATTCCATTGCCTCAAAATCTTTGAGGAGAGTCTTTGAGGGAAAATATTGACTTTGCCTGTTTAAGAGGTGTTTTACGGGGTGCCAGTTAAAAGTTAAAAACTGCTGTGGGAAATTGCTTGTCTGGTTAAAGGATAATATTTAGGTATTCTTGGCAAACCAATTTTCAGGGCTGGCGAGGTAGCTCATGCCTGTAATCCTAACACTTTGGAAGGCTGAGGCAGGAGGATTGCTTGACCTCAAGAGTTCAAGACCAGCCTGGGGAGCATGGTGAAACCCTGTCTCTACAAAAAATAAAATAGATTTTAAAATTAGCCCAGCGTGGTGCCATGTGCCTATAGTCCCAGCTACTGGAGAGCCTCAGGTGGGAGGATCACTCGAGCCCAGGATGGTAGAGGCTGCAGTGAACCATGATCAGGCCACTGCACTTCAGCCTAGGCAACAGAGTGAGACTCTGTCTCAAATAAAAAATAAACAAACAAACAAACAAACCAAAAAACAAACTATAGCTGATATCCATGACACCACATTTAACTTTGTGGTGATAGAATTCCTTATCTCTTAAAGGAGCTCAAAAAGTGGCCTCAGAAATCAAAACATGAGATGACTCAATGGGAGCCCTCCTGTCACCCCTGAGTTTCTATAGTCCTTGGGGCTGGCATTTCCCTTGAGCCTGAAAGGCTGTGGCTGCAGTGAGCTGTGACTGTGCCACTATACTCCACCCTGGGCAACACAGCAAGATCCTGTCTCAAAAAAAAAAAAACAAAAAAAAAACAAAATAAAAAACCAATTCTCACACAAATGGGCTTCAAAGACAATAAAAGAAGTCAGAACTGGAAGTGAATGTACTAAGTAATTAGAATGATTTCTTGATTAGGAAAAAAAAACACCAAACAGTTAAAAGTTTTTATGCAGAATGAAAAAAAATGTCATGTCATGAATACTTCTCTTCCGTTTTTTGGTTTTTTTGTTTGTTTGTTTTTGAGATGGAGTCTTACTCTGTCACCCAGGCTGGAGTGCAGTGCTGCAATCTTGGCTCACCACAACCTCCACCTCCCAGGTTCAAGCGATTTTCCTGCCTCAGCCTCCCGAGTAGCTGGGACTACAGCTGTGAGCCATGCCCAGCTAATTTTTGTATTTTCAGTAGAGACTCAGTTTCACCATGTTGGACAGGCTGGTCTTGAACTCCTGACCTCAGGCAATCCACCCGCCTCAGCCTCCCAAAGTGCTGGGATTACAGGCATGAGTCACTGCCCCTGGTCTGAATACTTATTTTCTTTATATTTTAGCTCTGACCTGGAAGGGGCCAGGGTAAGAGCTATTTGTCAGCGCTACCTAAGATGCTTTCTCAAATCCAGTTCTCCGAGTTCTCTGAGGAAGGGGCAACTGTTTAACACTTCACTAGTGCTTTTGAGGATTTCAGGCATTTCCTTGATTCAGGTAGTAAATAAAGTTTTTAAATAAGTAGAAGAGTAGAGAGTATTATACTGCTTATTTGATGGGTGATACTTTGCTCTTATATTGAATCTAAACTAAAATATTATGGGTTTCCAAACATATGTAACAAAGAACAGTTCCTAAGGGAGATTTGCAATTTGAGGTGTTCCAAATTGAATCCCTCAAGGGAAGCTATGAAATGAAGCCAGCTTTTTCTTCTCTTGATGCTGCCATTAAACAATGAACAGACATAATTCCTGGGTACATAAGAAGATTCAGATAGGAGGAAACCAGTTAAACAAAATCTAGTACTAACAAAGAAATAGTTGTTTACAAGAAGAGACTTTTACAATCTGTCTACATAATTAAAACTTATCTCAGAAGAGAAAAGGCTAGAAGAAAACTTGTAAATCAAAGCAGAGCCATGAACCTGTGGTAATGGTGGGTGTAAGAGCCAAAAGGAGTACTCCTTGGGGGTTTGCAGAAGAAAATTATTACCTACGACGCTCAAAAAAGATTAAGAATTTGCCCTTCCTTTCTTCAGGAGATGTTGCTGTCCTCTGACATATCCTCCTAGGTGAGAAAGCAGTAGAAAACCCGTAATTGTTATTATGGCAGATGCGAGTAGGATTGAGTGATTAAAGCCACAAGGCGGAAAGACAATCTGGTGTAAAATGGAGAGATGTTTGATTTTCTCCCATCTCAGTCCATTAACCCAACGTCGGCGTCAGGAAATGGCTCTCATTAAACAAAGGTGAGGTGGTAGGAGCAGCAGGATTGCTTTAAGCAAACCTGAAGGTCAGCTGTGATGGGAAAACATACCTATTTGGAAATCATATATCTATCTCCAAGCCTGCGGAAAAAGTGCAGACTACTGGAGATTGAAATTACTTGGAATAATGCTGCTTTATGTATAAGCATTATACATTTCCACAGCCAAAGGCTTCCTGTATTTTGTACAACTCCTTCTTCTCCCTTCCCATAAACACAATATCTTGAGCCTAAAAGGTACTTAACAACTTGTTGCATTGAATGGAATTTGGAGCTCCAATAACAAAATACAGGTAATTGATACTTTTTATAGGTGTATTTGTAAATCCTTAGTCCTAACCTCCAAATGAAGAAATACGAAGAAATACTAAAAGATTGGGTCTATGTTTCTTTGTTAAAAATATTTTCATTTACATATCTTTTTATTTATCTCTAACAATTATGAAAAGAAATATAATCATTTCATTCTGTCATCCCTATTCCAAAATTTTAAAAATTATTTTTTTAAATAATTGTGGCTACAAACGGAAGTAATTTGGGACTTAAGTATAGCAACAAATTACTTGCTGAAGGCAATTCACATAAAGGAAATTATGAGTTTCCCAGTTTAGCAGACATTTATGATTTTAGGAAAGGAGTGGTGGGTTTGAGGGAAGATCGGTTTGGACCAAATGATGCAGGCAGTTTAGCAGAAAAGAAACCAGGAGTCGGGGGCTTGTTGTTCCCAGATGAGTGTTCGTAGCCCACTCCTTCTCCCACTTCCATAGCAGCTGCACCATCCTCTATCTCCTTCCCACTCTCGGAGTAAACAGAGACCAGCAGGGATGAACTCCCTCCGTTTACTACCATCCCTTACAAGTTTACCTTCATCGGTCCACACCCACACATCATTGCCTCTGTCTCTGAAAAGCAAGAGTCCTCACTTTTGCCACTATCTTTTCCAGGTTCTGGTGAAACGCAACTCCATCAGCACCTCCCCAGTCCAGTCTTATCCTCAACCTCTTTCCCCAGTGACTCCTTCCTCTGTAAACTCCTCCAGCGATCACCTACGTATGTGTGTATTTACCTGGACACTGTTCCGTTCTATTGATTCAATACTATACTATTTTTCTTTTTTTTTTTTAACTTATTTTAAGTTCAGGGGTATAAATCCAGGTTTGTTAAATAAGCAAACTCAGGTAATAGGGGTTTGTCATACAGATTATTTTGTCACCCAGGTATTAAGTCTCATACTCATTATTTTTCCTGATCCTCTCTATCCTCCCAGACTCCACCCTCCAACAGGCTCCAGTGTCTGCTGGTCCCCTCTGTGTCCACATGTTCTCATCACTGAGCACCTACTTATAGCTGAGAACATGCGGTATTTGTTTTTCTGTTCCTGGGTTAGTTTGCTAAGGATAATGGCCTCTAGCTCCATCCACGTTTCCACAAAGGATATGATCTCATTATTTTTTATGGTTGCA